AGTAATTATTTATAGATTTATTTGTATGTAATTATCTAGAGATAAATTTGAAGGTAATGTGTTTATTATTTTGATGACCCCACTTTTTGCCTAAAACACTTATCTGAACATTAAAATACATCGTAAAAGTTCAAGATATTACTTCACTACAAGGAATTTATTTAATATCTAAAAATTAGTCACTAAAGTAAATAATTTGAACATACAATATTTGTACCTAGATTTAACAACGTAAAAAATCAAAAACATTATATAATACAATGGTTTGAATATAAAAAGAAATTCAGTCATGTGATAATATCTAAGTAAGATTTTCTAACACAATAATAATATCTAAAATTTTCTAACACTAATAATCTTCTTAAAAACGACGTGAATTAGTGAGTTCTTCATCTTTTTATTTCACTTGTTGATTGTCTTCAACCTGATTGACTTATTTAATATTTGGCTGTTAAAAAGTATTTTATGCAAAATCATTGCTGTCATGAACATCCTAAATTGGTTTAATTTGATCCACATTTAAAAAAAAAAAGGTATTTTTTTTAACCTAAATTACTCGAATATGCGGTGAGTGAAATTAACTCAGGAATTAAAGATCATAGGAGCATCTGTTTCCATTAATATAGTATAAGATAAATAATAGAATACATTTTTATTTAGTAATAATATAATGCATTTTATTTTATTTTATTTATGTTCTTTAAATCTAATATATTGTGTAAAATATAGTAAAAATCAATTCAAATATAGGAAATGTTTACAAAGAAATTTTGAAATTTAAATTTAAATTTCCAAAATTAATATATTTCAAAAAAAAAATATAAAAATTATACATAAACCTTCGTAATCATCCACACAATGTTCTCTTAGGAGAGCCTCACAATAACACATTTCATTGAAAGGTTAATTCCCAAAAACATTGAAACCAAATGATCACCACACCATAAAATGCTCATTTGTAACACGTAGCATCATATCACACAATGTACCCAAAAAAATATCATCATTCCATTCATCTCTTCCCCTTGGTAATTTTCTTGTGTCACTTTCAAAAGGAAAAGGTAAATTCATTCTGTGTCACAAAAATTATCGTACCATTCAGATTTTTTTCATTATTTCTTTAACGATTGCGAAATGAGAAAAATGAAAACATGAAATGTTTATGTGGCTCTTGTTTGGTGCAACCAAAGTTGAGGCTATTGCTTTGCTCCATGTGGATATCATATTAATAAACCCTCTCCACTTCCACCTCTTTTCAGGTCCCACTCAAAACACATTCTCATCATTTATATACTGTATTTCGCTTCTTATTTTTCAACCGTCAAAAACCGAAAAAATCAACGTTAAAAATGATCGATGATATTGCTATAAATAAATACAGTAACAGAGACGTCTGAATTGTCAAAATTTTCGACGTTATTTATTTAATGTTTGAACACACGTTGTTTAACATTGATCCACTGTGTTGTGTTGTATTATAAAGAGAAGAGTAACGTGTGTTAGAAGAGAAGAGTACGTTTCTTAATGGAAAGTGTAAAACATGTGTTTGATTTATCATAAAGTTTTCATGTGTTATTATATGTTAAAGGGAAGATTATCTTTAGAATAGGAAAGCTTAAAACATGCGTCTAATTATAGAAATTTGACATGTGTGGTATGTGAATAAATTAGGTTTGGATTTAGAAAGCTTAAAATATGTATCTAATTTATCGTGGAGTTTTGATGTGTTATATGTTAACAAGGAGACTTTATTTAGTATATCAGAAAACATAAAACATGTGTCCAATTTATTATAGAGTTTTGGCATTTGTTGTATGTTAAAGAGAAGATTGAGCAATGGAAATATGTATCTAACTTCTCATAAAGTTGTGACATGTGTTGTATGTTAAAGAAAAAATTAGGTTTAGTATTGGAAAGTTTAAAACATGTGTCTAATTTATGATAGAGTGTTGACAAGTGTTGTATATTAAAGAAAATAGTTTATTGTCGAAAAATTTAGAAGACGTGTCTAATTTATCAGAGTTTTGATGTGTTAAAAGAGGAGATTAGATTTAGTATTCAAAAACGTAAAATATGTATCTAACTTAGCATATAATTTTAACATGTGTTGTACGTTAAAGAGGAAATTAGATTTTTAAACTTGAAAAATACGTGGCAAATTTATTATATCTTTTGTGTGTTAACTACGTTTTTAGTTTTTAAATTATAAGGTGAAATTTGAATTTGTTTTTGTCCAAAATTTGATTTAATTTGGTCTTTAAACCTTAAAAATAAATTATTATAGTTTTTTAAAATTAATAGTGTTTTATATTTTTTTACGTATCAAAACAGTAATTTAAACTAACATTTGAGTTATTTATGTCGTTCAACATAATAAATGTCAATCTAAATCACTGTTTAACACTTAAAAAAAACTAAAATTTGTTAGACTAAAATGACTATATCTATTTATTTTTAAATTTTAAAAATTAAAATATATTTGGAATATAAAAAAAAATTAATTTTGTATCAAATTTAGGGATTAAAAATATATCTTATCCATAAATTTTTATGTGTTGTATGTTAAAAGAGAAATTAATCTTAATATCAAAAAACTTAAAATATGTCTAATTTATCATAAAGTTTAGACATGTGTTATACGTTAGTGGGAGATATTTAACCACTTTTTTTTAATCAACTAGTATTAAAAAGCATAAAACATATATCAAATTTATGGTAAAATTTTTATATTTTGGAAACAATTTAGAAATCAAACAACAAACAATTCACAACATTTAATAATAGCTTGAATCAAATTAGAAAAAAAAAAGTTAAGAAAAAAGAATCTAAAATGTATGATATACCCGTTTCACCAATGGTAATTGATATTTTGACATGCAATAAGTTTCTATACATTATTCTTCAGTCTCTTTTACTATTTTTCACTCATAAAATATAAAAGTTGACCCTTTTGGAAGTATTGTAGTCCTAAGTAGTTTGATTTTGGTGTTAGAGGATGTTTTTCTTTGACGAATTTTACCATGTAGAAGAATGGGTATAAACGGAAAAAAGAAATTGTGAGACGTAGTTTAAAAGGAGACAGGTAGAATTGAATGAAGGGTCGTAAGAACAACATTAGTTTTGTTTGGTGCAATCCATCAATGTGGTTCACACATACCTTATTTATTACGCTTCTTCCGGATCTTGCCACTTCATCTACTGCTATTCTTTTATAATTTTCATTTTTACATTTCACATATAATACAAAAATAAAATAATCATAAAATAAATTTTTTTATTTTTTTCAAATAAACGTAAAAAATTTATTCGTTAAAATATTATTTCTGGTTGATGACGTTCTCACAGTATTCCTTTTAATTTTCGTGCACCTAAGCAACCACTGCAACCACCCTTTTCAATTTCATCTTCCATTCAAACTTCAAACTCAATTTATACCACCTTTCTACTTTCAGATAAATAATTAATGAACTATATATTTATTTCCACTTTTATATTTTTTAAAACTTGATCATTTTCTTAATCTTATTTTTTGGATTGATCAAGCAATAATAGGGTTTCATGATGAGAATGGAACGTGGAGAAGAATCGCTGATAGATAAAATTTGTGGTGGAAAATGCTTCTGACGTGGTTCGTACTCATTCTTCACCATTTCAACATACAGATATTTTTCTTTTTTTTGTGTGTACAGAATCAGATATTTTCCACCTCCGTCTTAATTACCAACCACTTCTATTTTCTTAGACCTTACCCTAACTTTAGCTTCCACTTTTTATCAATTTTCAAAAATCAAATATTAAAACCATTTATTGTGGCGAAATTAGTAAAATATATAAATAGAAAATGACATTATGCAGAAAAAAATAATTATTAAAAAGAGTTCGAGAGAGACGAGGTTTTGAATGCCAAGGATAAGAGGCACGAGAAACAGACGTAGCAAACTAAGATAACCGAAAAACCAGAAAAAGTCACTCTTTCCATCAGTTTCAATCATTTTACGTTGTTAAAAGAACTCTGCATTATATGGAAAAAAATAAAGAACAATTTTATTTATTTTTATTAATATAAGTAAGAAAACAATTTTTGATGGACAAAAGAATTGAATATTTGATAACGTTATTCCGAAAAATAATGTTAATAAATGTTTTTATTTTCTTTTTGACAGTGTAAAAGAAGAGGCTAAGAATAGTGGTGGCAACGAATATTACTCGTGCTGTAGCTTGGTTATATTAGGTATATAAACATTTTTTCCTCGTGTTTTTCCTTGTTTTAGAAAGGGGTGTTAGGCACACGAATTTTTAATCGGTGTGGATACTTCAAATGTTATAATAGCACGTTGATTGTTTCTTAGATTATTATTGTAGTTAAAAGCTATATTAGTAAAGTGTATACGAAACAAATAAATGAAAAAGATTCAGATTTCTTTCCTATGTTTCGTTTGTTTCGTTTCGATAAGTAACAATTAGGATGTTTCGGATCTAATTTGTGTGTGTGTGTTTTTAACTCGACATGCACCGATTTCAAAAATAACTAGCTATAAAAGTTCAATCTATGGCCTTTAAAAGTTAAAATTTGTTTAGTTTTTCTAAAACTATAAATTTGAAGTGACATTTTTTTTTAAAAGTGAAGTGGATCGATCGTGTACCTAAAACAATAGACAATGTTATTAATTTGATATATTACATTAATTATTTTTTATAATTTATATATATATATCTTGCTTTTGATATGATGTTGTAATGATTAGAGGTAGTAAATAGTATATTAATGTTTGATTGAAAAGATATTTTATAATTAAGTATGTCCACAAACAATATTATATATTATGAAATATTATATTAAATGAAGCATGGTTGATGTGTTATGCATGTATGTATGTATGTACGAAAGCATGCATGGATGTATGGTGTTTAACTGTTAGGGGTGAAGATTTGAGGAGCTCACATTCGTAGCCACAAGTAAAACAAAAGGACAGAAATAAGCATTGGAAAGCAAAAGGCATAGTTTTTTTTGGTTGCGTTACTTATTTTAAATATGCTATGCTATGTTCGTCACCAGGGGTATTAATATGAGACACTGTCCCTAACATTGTATACATAACACGAACACGCCCTCTGCAATTTTCGCCTTCTTCTCTCTCACTTTTTTCTCAAACCCTATTCACCGAACAACGCAATTTTTTTTTTTCAAGTTAACGTTCTGAGGAAGGTTCTTGCGACGATGGGCAAGGCTTGCGAGCTTTGCAATAACCAAGCTTCCCTCTATTGTCCTGCCGATTCCGCATTTCTCTGCGGCGACTGCGACACCGCCGTGCACGCCGCCAACTTCCTCGTCGCTCGCCACTTCCGTCGCCGTATCTGCGCCAAATGCAATCGTTCCACCGGAATCTACATCGCCGGCGCCACCTTTCCATCCATCTGCACCTCTTGCTCGCCGGAGAAGGCTCTTTCCGACGACGGCGATTCTCTCCCTTCGTCCTCCACCTGCGTCTCGAGTTCCGAGTCCTGCGCCACGAAGAAGATTAAGGCGACGCGCGGCGCGGCGGGGAAGAAAAGGAGGAGGAGTTTTTCGAGTTCGGTGACCGACGACGCGTCTCGGGAAGCGAAGAAGCAACGGGAGAAGGTCGGATCGGTGGAGCAGGAGGAGGTGTTCGCAAAATGGAGCAGAGAGATAGGTTTAGGGTTTGGAATAGGAGAGAACGGTAACCGCGTGGCGTCGCACGCTCTGAGCGTGTGCCTCGGAAAGTGGAATTTGCTTCCGTTCAGGGTGGCCGCGGCGACGTCGTTTTGGCTGGGCCTGAGATTTTGTGGGGACAGAAGTGTGGCCACGTGGCAGAATCTGGCGAGGTTGGAGAAAATCTCCGGAGTGCCAGCTAAGCTGATTCTGGCCGCACATGCAAACCTCGCACGTGTCTTGACGCTACCCCGCGATTTGCACGAGGGATGGGGCGAGTCATAGCCAATACATGGAATTGTATGTTGTAATCCTACGAACGATTAACCAAAGTGTGGATTTCTTTTCAATTTTCTTTTCCGTTTTCGCATTTAGGGTTAGAACACTACAAATATCTTCATTATTAATGTGTTTACCAATGTGTATGAATTGGATGAATCAACCCATTCCCAAATTTCTTCATAACAAAACATTATACTTTTGTTTATGTTTAAGTCTTTAAATTTCTGATTAAGGTTAATAATATTCGACCTGAATCATAATCTTAATCGAAAATTTTGTTTTGGCTAAACAGAAAATGGATGATGTTTGAGAAGAAAGGCAAATGCGTGAGACCACATGATTGTTGTAAAGAAAATGAATGGTGATGGAGGCACGTGTCTGACTGAGTTAGTAAAAAGAAAAAGCGGCAATGGTAGGTGCCACTTGTTATCGAAAGGGCAATATCTGAATTGTGGAAGAAATTTGATGTTTGGTTTTGTCAAGGTTATTGATTCGGTTCTGAACAGGAACCAACAACCATAATTGATGATGTTGTATCACTGAGACAGTAACTAGGAGTAGCGAGTTTGAAAACCACACGTCTGCTACGTTTCTGGTTTTGGTCCCAGCCGGTAATAATAATGCACGTCAACAACCAGTGAAAAAGAAGCGGTTAAAAAAAGCCTCAATCAAATATATGTATGTGAGGTCTAAACGTGCTTCTCAAAAGTGCCACATGAGCTGGGTCGTCTATGAGTAGCAAAGCACTTCGTTGTGGTTGCAGTTTAAAGTTATTATTGCAAGAATCCTACTACCAAGAGAGAGAAGCAGTTGTTTTTTTATTGTTGTTGTTGCGTTTTTAGATTCTTTCTGCTCCAATGGGCTTCATTATGTCTAAACCACATGTTTCACTTACTTTTAATTTTAATTCATAACATTGGTTTTGTTGTCATGGCTCATTCTTAGCCATTATTTGATTTCCTTAAAATATTCATCAACTCATGGCTATAAGCTTTCCATCGTTTTTAATTGTTTAATTATAAGAGAGGTTTTTAAGAAACTTAAGAGACCATGCTACTGTCTCTCATTTCTCCAAAATCATCGTTAATTAGAGTCAATACATAAAAGGTTAAATTATTCAAAACTAACTTTCACTTAAACCAATCCCTCCTTATATTTTATTCTACTTTCCATTTAAACCAATCAATCTTTGAAATGCTGTATATCAACCATATATCTCTACCCATTTTTATGTACATATGTCAAACACGTTATCTTTAATAAATATATAAAAAAAATAAATTCCTTGAGAGCCAATGATCAATAACCAATGGATTAATTTAGAACAAGTGCATATTCATATTTAATTATAGAAGCGTTTATAATTTTAGAGAATCATTGAAATCTTAAGGTGCAATTATAAATTTTTCTTTCATAAATTGGCCTTAGTAATGTTACTACCTTTAATTTTTTATAAAATAATAATAATATATACATAGTTGTTTTTCTTAAATATAAGAAATATTATTTTCTTTTCAACAGACGTATTATGCTTACTATTTTTCTAGCGAAACTCGCAAACTTATTTTTAATTTTTCTTTAATTAATTCCTAAGGCATTCGATCACTTTCCATGCATGTAAAAACATCCGTATACCAATTAACATAAAAGTCACATTCATTTAATAGAAATATTCATTCATTAA